ATCCTTACTGATTGTGGACTGTGGGTCCAGAAGTCGAGGAACCAGTTGCAGATGAGAGGGCAGAGTCCTAGGTCTCGGAGTTTGGAAATAAGTTTGATTGGAATTATGGTGTTGAAGACGGAGCTAAAGTCAATAAATAGGAGTCTGAGGTAGATGTCCTTGCTATCCAGCTGTTCCAGGGATCAATGTAGCACCAGGAAGATGACATCTGCCATGGAACAATTGTGCCAGTAGGTGAACTGTACTGGAGCAGCGTAGTCTGTGAGGCTGGAATTGATGTATGCCATTACTAACCTCTCTCAGCATTTCATAATGATGGATGTCAGAGCCACTGCGTGGTAGTCATTAAGGCATGTTGCATGATTTTTTTCTATGGCACTGGAATGATAGTGGTCTTCTTGAAGCAGGTAGAAACTTGCATCATGGAGAGGTTAAAGATGTTTGCAAATACTCCTACCAGCTGGTCCTGAGCGCATGGCCAGGGACTCCATTCGGGCTAGTCGATTTCTGTGGATTCACTCTCAAGGCCGATCTGACATTGGCGGCACTAACTGGGTACAGGTGCACCGGAGGCTGTCACTGATCTTCTGATCAAAATGAGCACAGAATGCATTGAGCTTATTAGGAAGGGATATTTTATTGTCAGCAATTGTACGTGACTTCATTTTGTGGCCTGTTATATTGTGTAAGCCTTGCCACCGTTGACGTATGTTCATGTGGTTAGTCTGGAACTCTAGCTTAGTCTGGTGTTGTCTCTTGGCATCCCTGATAGCTTTGCGAATGCCATACCGACCAGTTCTCTGAACTGCCTGAATTAAGTCCTATCATTTTCTTAAAGAAGGGGATCAAAACTGCTGTCAGTACTCCAAATGTGGTCTCACCAGCATCTTTTACAGTTGCAGTAAGACTTCCCTAGTCTTACACTCCAACCATCTCGAACTAAGGGCCAACATTCCATTAGCCTTCCTGATCATCTGTTCTACCTGTATGCTAGCTTTCTGTGTTTCCTACACAAGTGCTTCCAAGTCCATTCTTTTGTTATCCTTCCAAAATGAAAAACTTTTCTTTGTTCCATATTATACTTTATTTGCCAACTTTTTGCCCACTTATGTAATCTATTAATATCCCTCTGTAAACTGTTTTTATCTCTCTAGCAACTTGCGTTTTTACCTATTTTTGTGTCATCTTCAAGGGTGACTATATTACATTTGTTTGCTTCCCTCCTGCAAGTTGTGCTGCCAAACCTACGGAGTTTCTCAAGAAGTTCGTTTTTGTTTCATATTTTGTAGTCTTTTTATATTGCAGATTATAGCTCCAAACCCATTTTCGTTGTATCACAGAGCTAGGATTTTGGCACTGAACATAAATCGTTTTTGCATTTCTGTGTGTAACCTAGTTAATATGGTCATTTTTTTGTTTTCATTCATTTTTAGGTTCTCCTACACCAAAGACTATTTGCTGTGTTATTCCCTAATCTAAATCTTTTTATCTAACTATTTTGTAATGACCTGGCAGAGAAGTACTCGAGAGTAATTGATGTTGGCCTGCTTTTGTAGCCTTTGTTTTAAAAAGTGTGTGTAGGCACAGCAACTGTCACAAAAACAGTGCTTTAAACAGCAATAACTTGCACTTACAATAGTCATTAAAGACATCATCAGAATGTAAGCCAGACAACGCTGTGCCAAAATAAAATTATGAACAATAATGAAAAGTTTGATGGATTTTAAGAACAGTCTTAAAGGGAGATCGAAGGATTCAGTGAGGCAATTCCAGGTTGTAGACCAGGATGGCTAAAGGCACTGAGCTTAATAGTGGCACAGAGAGGAGAAGATGCACAAGAGGTTGAAGTCAGAATAGCAGAGAGCAATTGGTTAGGTTTTAGGATTGGTTGTGGTTCGTGGTAAGGAGAAGGTGAGGTCATGAAGGGCGTTAAATATGACAATTAGAATGAAGAGAAACCGCAATAGAATGAGCAAAAATGTAGAAAATGGAATTCAATGCCAGTAAGTGTGAAGTGGTGTATTTTAGTTTAAAAGATAAAAGTAACAATTGTACTGTAAATGGGAGAAGGTCTGGTAATGTAGAACGGTTAGATTTAGGGATTCAGATTCACACAGCATGAAAAAGAAACATCTTGTGTGCTAAAAACCTAATCGACTGCTTAGTTTTGTAGGAAGGGCTACACATCATAATGAATGTGAATTTGTATATAAATCTGACTGAACAGGTGCAGTGCAGTCAAAAAACAAATCTTAGATGCTATTTGTACTGCAGTTGATGGCAGAAAGATTTTATTTTCAAAAAGAGCTTGTTTTCAGTTCACTACATGTGAGCAGATCCATTATTGCAGAACCACAATAAATATTTCGACGCTGTTTTGAGGATTAGTATTTCATTTTGTTATACATGCAGCTTAGTGTAGTCAGTCACCAGTGCTTCAGTTCAAGTAACCTGATCTCTCAAGTTCATGTGACCTGATAGGTGTATAATGCAATCATGTCTGAATAAACTGAATACTTCTGTTTGGTTAGCTGTGCTATATGGGGATGGATTGAAGATCTTCCTGGAACATCTTTATGGGTAACCTGAGCACTAAATTCAATCCAATTTAGTTTTGAACTCCATGGTTAACAATCTCGATCTCTGAACTGAGACATCAGATTGAACTGGTTTTTAGATAATTAATGCTTTTGAAATAAAGGAAAAACAGAGAAAGTATTATTGCAAAATGTTCTAATTTACTACTGATTTGAAAGTTTTGCTTTAATTTTGGTATAGATTGTCAAATGGAATAAGTGACATTTTATTTTAGAAACTTCTGTATTTAAAATATGAGCATGTATACTGCCTTTCATCAGCCTCAGCCCTTACTTGCCACCATCAAAGACTGAATCAGAGTATTTCAACCCTAATTTCTATTTGATGGTGAGCTGGGATTCTGACCCCTACATCTTCTCTGTTACCAAGACTGCCTATATCTACTTCTGTAATACTGCCTGTCTTTGGAATGGCCCCAGCCCACGTATTGCTGAAACTCTTATCTGTGTTTCTTTTAGTTCTTAACTTGGCTATTTCATTGCTGACCTGCCACATAAGCACCCTTTGTACACTTCAGTTAACTCTAAGTTGTGTGGCCCATATCCTAACTCGCCAAGTTACCATCACCCATCATACCATGCACTTGTTATATGTATTGTCTTCTAGTCTGACAGTGCCTCACTTCTTTTAATATTAATATTGTATAGCACCTCTCATCTCTGCAATCTCCTTTCAGATCTATCACCTTCCTTGATCTTTGTGTTATTCCGATTCTGGTCTTTTCGTCATTGCTGATTTATAGGTTTCCACCACTGGCAGCTTTAGGCAGAGAGTGGGGATAAAGGGATCTTTTTCAGGATGGCAGCCGGTGAGTAGTGGAGTTCTTCAGGGGTCAGTGTTAGGACCATAACTATTCATGTTATACATTTAAACATCTTGATGAAGGAACTGAGAGCTTTGGTGCTAGGTTTGCAGATGATACAAAGATAGATGGAGGAACAGGTAGCTTTAAAGAGGTAGGGAGGCTGCAGAAGGACTTGGAAAGGCTAGGCGAGTAGGTAAAAAGTGTCAGATGGAATATAATGTTGGAAAGTGTGATGTCATATACTTCTATTTTTTGTACCAAAGTGTATTTTCTAAATGGAGACAGGCTTTTGAAATCTGAGGCAAAAGAGGCTTAGAAGTCCCAGTTTAGATTCTTTTAAAATTAACATGCAGGTTCGGTTGGCAGTTGGAAAGGTAAGTGCAATGTTAGCATTCATTTCAGGAGGGCGAGAATACAAAAGCAGGGCTGTATGATGGATCTCTGGTCAGACCGCATTTGGAATATTCTGAGCAATTTTGGGCCCTGTATCTAAGGAAAGCATATCTTACCTTTGGAGGGGATGCAGAAGAGATTTACAAGTCTGTTCCCAGGCTTGTCATATAAGAAGCAGTTGAGGATGTCTGTACTTGAAGTTTAGAAGGATGAGGAGGCAATCTCGTTGCAAGTTACAGAATACTGAGAGGCCTGAATAGAGTGGATGTGGAGAAGATGATTCCACTAGTAGGAGAGACTAGGACCTGAGGGCACAGCTTCAGACGACGGGGATGACCCTTTGCTACCGGGATGAGGAGGAATTTCTTCAGCAAGAGGGTGGTGAATATGTGGAACTCCCTGCTGCACAAGGCTATGTCATTAAATGTATGTAAGACTGAGATAGATAGGTTCTTCGTTAATAAGGGGACCAAAGGATACTGGGAGGAAGCAAGAGAATTGGACAAGAAACAGACCAGCTGTAGTTGAATGATGGAGTAGATACAATGGGCTAAATGGCCTAATTCTGCACCTATAACTTATGGCCTTATGTATCATCAGCTGACAAGCCCTCGGCACATTTTCTCTTCACTTCTCTTTCCTCCTTTAAGATGCACCTTTAAAATCTGGCTGTTCAGCCAAGTTTATGGCCACCTGTCATAATATTGCTTTTACACTGCTCGGCATCAAATTTTAATTGATAACTTTTACTGCATTGTAGACATGCAAGTTGTTGCCAAGTAGGCACCACTCTTGCTTTATCTTGGATAAATCAGTTTGAACTTCCATCAGCAGGGGCGCACTCTTGATTTACCTCACTAATATATGTTGGCTAGCATTTCAGCCTCCCATGAAAATAGTAACCAAAACAATGTAGACTTACTAATGAAAAAATAGTCTACATTTCAAGTTTTCGCAATATATTTTCCTCCAATGATTCTGTTCAATATTGTATATTTTATCAGCAAGTTGTTGCCACTTATCAGAAGAAAGGGCTGCTGGTCCTTTGAAAATGCTGCAGTATTTTTTACAAGGTTACTATTAGCCCTAGCAACCAAATGTTTAAGTGATAAATCCTAAATTTTGAGCCATTAATGATTGTCCTGTAATAACAATATTGTTCCAACAGGTGTAATGACCTAATTCCTTTTCTTTTAACTTGCAGTCTATGTTATCTGTAAACAAGGAAATGATTCCCAGAAGGCTGTTAAAATCCTGCAAGAGATACTTGACAATGAGCTCTCCCCATTATCGGTGAAGGATATTCAGGGTGGCCTAATGGCTTGGGCCTGTAAGATTGATCCAACTTTCCCACAGTATTGATTGCTGGAAACGGGGAAGGGAAGGCAATCAGTTAACACATTTCTAAAAAAAAATTACAATGTGTTTATTATTCAGTGCACTGTTAATTGTCAATAGATACAAGTGGAAAATCATTTTTAACATTCCACAGATTTATTCCGTTTGAAGTGCTTTTCAGTTAAGGAAAGATAATGTATGTGCTATTTTCTGTATTGGATGTATTTAACTGATTTAGTAAGGACACCAGCAATTTAGTAACTCTGTACAAGTGTACAGAAAATCTCTCGGGTTGGGGTTGATTCACTTTATTAAGTATCTTGTGTTACAGGCCAAATACTGTGCTGCTGAATTACTAATTTTGAAATATTGAGAGAATATCAAAATTAACGTTTAAATAGTAATTGATGAGTAAGCCACAGATGAAGCCGATGACACATGCAGAAATACTGACAATAGATGTTTGCTTTAATTTGCTACCACATAGGCTTTTGGGTATTTTAATAATTATGACATTGGTGCAAGTCTGGCAGTTCTGATACTATGGAAGTTAATGTAGCAATTCATATTTTTAACAATGGACTGGGTTTTTTTAAACTATATATTCATTTGTGTATATAACGCAAGTGCTGCCCTTAGGTTTGCCACAACAATATTAAATATTACATGGATTCCATTAACATACATAATAACATAACATCTGTGATATAATTTTGTCTCGTATGGGAAACCTATGTTTCAAGGATGTCAACCAGACCAGCTATAGAGTCATCGAGCTGTGCAGCATGGAAACAGGCCCTTCGGTCCAACTCGAACATGCCAACCAGATATTCTGAATTAATCCAGTCCTATTTGCCAGCATTCGGCCCATATCCCTGTAAATCCTTCCTATGCATACATCTATCCAGATGCCTTTCAAATGCTGTAATTGTACCAGCCTCCCCCATTTCCTCTGGCATTCCATACACATACCACCCACTGTGTGAAAAAAGTTGTCTCTTAGGTCCCTTTTAAAATCTTCCCCTCTCACCTTAAACCTATGCCCTCTAGTTTTAGACTCCCCCACCCTGAGGAAAAGACCTTGACTATTCACCCTGTCCATGACCCTCATCATTTTATAAACTTCTATAAGGTCACCCTCCGCTTCCGACACTCCTTTAAAAAAAAAGCCCTAGCCTATTCAGCCTTTTTAAGTGCACATTTTTTATAAATTTGCATGAAGAGTATGGAGTTTTATCTTCAGCATTACAGTGGCAATATCAGTTCCTGAACATTTTCAACTTTGTGGTGCAGGATGGATTGTTTGGAAGACATAGTGAATATTTCAAGATCGAAATTTGGTGCTTCCTAGGAAATGATTTCATTTTTAAAGCTGACTGTGGCACTCTTGATTCTGTTACTTCTAAGTAAGACTTCTGCAAACCAATTAGGAAATAGCAATTCTTGTTGCAGTTCTTGCATGAGATTTATTCAATAAATGTACCTCATTTAATTAAATGTGAACTTATTAGGTCTGTTTATTGTAAACAATGAATCACAACCTATCCTCTGTAACATAGATGACATCATTATATGTGAAGTAAAATATCTATTTGTATGATAGTATTGTAAAAACATATGACCCATGCCAGTTTTTTTTTAACGTGCTGACACCTTTTAACTAATCAAATTTGGGAGTTTTGGCATTCTAAAAGTTGACATTGTAGACTTAGTGGATAGGAAAAATCGAGCAAAGTCAATCTTTCCAGTATCTGCCTTGTTTTTAACCATTGCTTTCTAAGGGAGAATATACACCAATCCTTCAGAATAATCACCAAGATTGAAAATAAATCTCAGGTCTAGTGCTTAACATATTCCTTGTAGTTTTTTTCAAGTGCTTCTTTATCTTGAGTCATTTAATATGTACAAAGCTCTAATGAGAAAATAATTCTGTGAACCTTATAATTATAGTTTTTATTGTAAGAAAACACTGTATAGTGAACAGGATATGCTTTAATAAAAGGCGATTTGAAATTTTTTATGGTCTGTTGTGGATTACAGAATTGTATACAGACACTTCGCTTGCTTAGTAGTTTCCTCCTCCATTTGCACTGCTCCTTGCTGTCTGACATACAAATTCTATTTGTAACCAAGTTGCAGTAAAGAATTGATGTTTTGACCTGCAGTTTAAAAAAATCTTTCCATATGTTGGAAGATTAAAAATTGCAGAGTAAAATTACAGAATCAACAGGTAATAAGTGTTGATGTTATTGAAGCCAGAACTTAGTTGAAGATTTTCATTTGTTCAATTTTACTGAATCCATTTCATGAATTAATATTTATTCAGCTGACTTACTAATGTAAATCTGCCTGACCAGTAACTTTTAAAAAGAATTTCAAATTTAATTATTAACTGAAAGAATTATGCCACAAAATTTAATGTTTTAAACATATTTTACAGCATTAGTTAAAACGAGGCAACTGATATTAACCTAATGTTCTATTTTATAAACACTGACACTTTAAGCCTGAACATCTCAATAGAACATTCTCCGTTCTACTTTTATTTCCACCCGAATTTCCATGTAGCATCTCTTTTAACTTCTGGGACCAAGTGCAACTAATTGTACCAATTTCCAGGAATTTACACATTGATTCTCCTCCATGTTCCCACTATTCCCAAGAAATATTGCATGAGGTCTTTCCAATAGCATCTATCTAAGAATCCTTCAACACCTCATGATTGTGGATAACTCAGATCAGACACAGGCCTGGCTACATTCTTGCTCAGTGACTGCAAATCAGAAATACCACTGGTTCCTGATGGCCCTCTTCCCAATCCATAACTCCTGGCAAATTCTCTGTTTGTCTTCTCCAAACCTGTTCTGTGCCTTAATTTAAAATTCTGCAAGAAAACCAGGTAAAACACCAAAACAAAACCTCCCTACAGTCTATTCCTACATTTAAAAATGCTTGCCACATTCTAGGGAGAGATTTGAACTAATCCCCAGATCCATACATCTCATTGTTTTAAGGACCCACACTTGGGTCCACTGAGGCAACTGGAGGTGTCCTGTCCCCAAGAAGTTCAGAGGTAAGGGCAGCACAGTGGTGAGCACTGCTGCCTCTCAGCACCAGGGACCAGGGTTCGATTTCAGCCTTGGGTGACTGTGCAAACTCCACACAGACATTCTCTGTGTGTGCATGGGTTTCCACCAGGTGCTCCAGTTACCTCCCACAGTCAAAAGATGTGCACTTTAGTTGGATCGGCCATGCTAAATTACCCCTAGTGTTCAGGATGTGTGGATTAGATGCATTAGCCGTGGGATAGGGCAGGGTTTGGGTCTGGTTGGGATGTTGTTTGGAGGGTTAGTGTGGACTTGTTTGGCTGAATGGCTTGTTTCTCCATGCTGTGGGATTCTATGTATATGTAAGTCCATTGTTTAGTTTCCAATTGTTTCATGACAGGGAGTTTTTTCTTAAAGTTGTAGTTACATTCCTGAGAATTTTGACTTGGAAATGACTGTGAATCATATGTTCCTTTAAAAATCAATGTTAAAGCTAGAGTTTCTTCTCACAAACTATGTACAGTTTGAAATACATGACCATATGTACAGCATGGTGTATTCTTCATTGAAATTGTTGGAAAATAAAATGTATTTTTTATTAGTAATACAGCTTGGAAACAGAATCTCAGTCCATGCCAACCATGTTCCCATGTATTAATTCTTTTCAATATAATATTTAATGTAAAATCTATTTAAAGATGTTCTCATGAAGTACTGGATTGACCGGGCTCCACCTCGAGGCATAGCTTGGGTCAGTGCAGGTAGCTGAAGTCCCATGACTACCGATACCGGCCCAAATCTGTCACTAGGTGGAGCTATGAGGAGCTGAAGAATGCACTGGGGACATAGATAAGAGATGTAAAGCAATGACATGAGGCAAGGATGAAAAGCAGTGCTGTGTTGCAACAGGAAGAAGAAGATCTGTGGGTAAGAGTAGAAGCACTGCAGGAAAAAAAATTGTGTGTATACAGGCCACAAAATAAATCCTCTTTTGGCAAATTTTGTTCGGAAAGTGTCAGTGTTTAATGGATATATATTGACACTACTGAATGTTAAAGTGAAACAACATAACATTTGACATTAAGTAGGGATTTACTGTATAACCTTAAAAAATCATGGGGCATTCTTGGATTTAAGTTACTTCAGACTTGTTAACTGTCTTCTCAAACCAGGTTTTTATTTCTTGCGTATAAAATTTTCAATCTTCAACCTAACAGTTATTCTCAGTGTATTATAAGGGAATACTTTTTTGGAGTAAAAGATCGAAATGGAGGTCGGACTGCTGTATCACTGAAGTATAACCTGAAAATTGAGTGCTGCTTTTTTTGCTACGCAATTCAATATTGCTTTTTGAAGCAGTGAGGGGGAGAGTGAGAGTGAGAGTGTGAGTGGGACAGTGAGGCATATGAGGTAAGGAAATACTGCATGATGACAGTCCTCTGGTTGAGCTAGAAAGTTTTTAAAGCTGCAAGTGCAAGGCAGAGGGAATTGTCTAGAGTATGAAAACTGAAAACATCCATCTCTTTCCCCTTGTGCTTTGTCTTTCCACGTTGGGGGGAAAAGACAGAAAATGAATGAATCTTGGAAAAAATGAATTCTAACAAGAAAACCCGATAAATTATCAAATAAATTTACGACTATCACCCGGCAAACAAGTGTGCTTTCTGTGCTAAATTTAAAAAGACTGTGTGAAAGACACCACCCTTGAAATCTTGACTTGTGATCTTCATAATTTTGCTTACCCTGTCTATGTGTTTCCACCAAATCAACCATATCTGTCTTTTGTGTGTCTTAATTGTGAATCTGTGTGTATTCTGAAACCGTACAATTTCACATAGATTAAAAACCCTTTGTTTTTTGTTAATGAATTATGAATGATCTGTTTTCGTGCTGTCTGACTAATTTATGATATTTTTCAGTTAAAGATGATGTGAATTACTTTTATCTTGAATAGCAGTCAGGCAAAATATCTGTTTTTTGATGGTCTATTTCAAATATTTTACATTTTGGGTCAGGTTGTGGAAAAATGAGGCAGGATTCTCAGTGTACTATTCCTCATTGTTGTTAACAATATGAATCCTTGAATGAGTTATTCATTACACTTTATAAAAACTATTTCAATGTAATTCAAATACGGCCAGGAGCAGTCTTCACTTCTCACAGTTCCCTGCTTTTGTATGATGGTGTCAGACGAACATCATAGGTGTTTGAAATTGGAAGCGGTGAATGATGAAGCTGGATACTCGTGTCCACAAAACAGACCTCATGCTCACAAACATAAAAGGTAATCCTGACACATTAATGCATTGCATTAGGATATGAACAGTGTTTGAACTGTGCAACTGTGATTGTAAGGCAGAACTATATAAATATGGGCCTCCAGACTCAAAGAAAAATCACCTCAGCTGTTGAGGCCTGGTGTGCTAAATCACAAAATAGAAAATCTAGTGACTTTGTAATTTTTTAGCCAACTCTGGTTGGATACATAAGCAGAGGTTTTCAACACTCACGCCCCTCCAAGTTGAAAGTATTTTTACATTCCTAATATTTTGAGGTAATGAAGATTAAAAAAAGTGATCAAAATGTATTTCAGTGACCCCCCCCCCTTCATGGAGGTTTCCAAACACTACTGTGGTAATTACACATGGATTTGGAAACACTATTTTGTAGCAACTGTACCCAGAGATGTTTACATGCACATTTGCTGCAGGTCATGTTTGTGGTGAGTGGCAGTTGTGTTCATGTGTATGTACAGTTTTCAGGTTTTGCTGAAAATAACGAGAGTATGTATTGGGCAAATTCAGTACAGCAACTAGCACATCAAAAAGATTTTTTCTATACTATAAACTAGAGTGCAAGCAATTCAAATCGATGGTGTTTTCTTAAAGCATAATCTGTCAAAAGGGATGTCCTTTAAAAATGCTGCAAAGTTAATCTAGTCTTATGCAGACATCTAAAACCTGAAACAATTATATTTACTTCTCCCATTCTTTGTCAACAAGCAATGACCCACATTATTTTGTTTGACAATAGACATGAGTCTCATCTATATATTTCTCATTGATTTGTTGAACCATTTAGATTGATTCTAGACAACACTGTAACCTTCCTTGGTCAACATAACAGACACCATAAGACTCAGAACGTTACAGGGGAGATGGTCAATCATTTGCGCTGGCTCAATACAAGGGCTTTCCACCGTTGCTCCAAATCCAAAATATGCTCCCCCCAACCAAGAACTATTGTCTTCTTTCAAGCACATATCCAATTGTCTTTTGAAAGTGACTACAGAATCTGATCCTACTCTTTTTTTAGGTAGTTTATCCTAATTTTTTGAGTAAAGAAATGTTGTCTCATTATTCTCTATGGATTTTAAGAAAAATGCAAAAAAAACCCCGCTGGTTACTGATCAATTGTTGGGGCAAATAATTTCTCATTCCTTGCTGTATTAAGCCCACCCCATCCAAGTTTCAATATCCTTTTAATCTCCCACATTCTAAGGAAATAATACCAACTTCTCCATTTAACGGAAGAGCCTCCTCTTTAATAAATATGAACTTCCTTTATATTCAGAGATCCTATTTACAAAGCCAAATATCCCTTTAAATTTCTTAACTGCCTTATCAATTTGCCCTGCCGTCATCAATATGCACCAAGTCCCTCTGCTCTTGCACCTTACTTTAGAAGTACCATTTGAATGATACTACCTCCATGTTTTTTGCAAAGCTGTTCACTTCCAAAACACCAACTGGCATGAACATAACACTTTTAACATACTAGAAAGACCTAAGGCACTTCACAGGTCCATCAAACAAATTCTGACGCTAAGCCACATAAAATTACCAAAAAACTTGATAGCATTAAGGAACATTTTTAGGGAAAGATAAACAGAGCTGTAGAGTCATTTAGGGAGGGGAATTTCAGAATTCAGTGCCTTGGCAGCTGAGGGCATGGCAGCCAAAGTTGCAAAA